GGGGTGCAGAAGCGGGGCTGCTGTAAAGCTGCTATGAACTCCTTTTCAAACACATCTGACTAATCCTCAAGGTGCACAGGTTTTCCAAGGAACGTGAAAAAACTTCTGAAAATCTATAGAAATCTTCCCCCCGTCAACACATATTATTCAAAATAAATAATAAACATCATAATTACAAAATAAATAATAAATATCATAATTTCAAACTAAATAATTAACAGCCATTCTCTTTCCTAGCATTTGGTGAGATTTTGGCCACGAGGAGGAGATGGTCTTGGCCAGAAGAAACAGAAGATGCTCTTGGACTCGGGTGACAGACAGTGACGGCAACCAACAGGCCGGACCCTGCCGTCGGCCAGGGGAACATGACGGAGACAAACACAAAAGGGCTCTGCTTTCCATCACTCCAATTGCCACAGCTATTAAATGCCAGAGCCGGCTGTTCCAGCAAAGGAACAGCCCTTCCTGCAGCACTTTTCCCCCCCCCAACCCATTTTTTTCCAGGATAACAGATTTGCAGCATCAGAAGAGCAGTAAACCAAGGGAGGGGAGGGAGCCAACGGTCCCCTAAAGCCAAGCCTTACTATGTTCATGAGGGTGAGGACGTAGTTCTGGACGTGCTCCTTCCCGTGGAAGCGTACGACCGAGTCGTCCACCGCCAGCAAGACCTCGATGTTGTAGTCGTCCTTCCTGGCATGGCGCCTCTTGCGCTCCGCGTCCCCCAGCTGCTCCGTCATCAGCTCCAGGGAGTTGGGGAGATCGCCTACCCGCACACGGGGCACTGAGCAAGGCATGGGGGGCAGAAAAAGAAATAGCCATTGAGATGACACTCCAAAAAAATATTAATTAAGCAGGAAAAATAAATAGGATATTTAACTCCAACCAGGTCGCTGATCCAGCTTGCTCTACGGTGGGGAAATGGCTCTGAATCGGCAGCACCAGCACTAAAAGGTATACCTATGCAATGATGGTCCTACACTGTCCCTTGGGTGCTGGTGGGACACCTGGGGAGGTGGTGGACAGCTGGGGAGGATGCATGCAAAGCTGGGGGCTGCTCCTTGAGAGCAGATAGCTGCAGCCAGAGCATCCTCCATCCTTCATAGCATCCTTCACACTTCATCGCATCCTTCACCCCATCACCCGGCAGTGCCTTCAAAGCTCTCAATTGCAATTGCGTTAGCGATGCTATGAAAGCAAAGAGCACACCCTGGAAAACTTTTAAACTTTTTTAAAAACCAGGGAGCTGATTACAGTGCCACAAGAGGTGAATAAACACCGGGGAAGGCTAATGCCTCTGCGTAAATATAAATAGATTTATAGAGTGCTTTTGCACAACGTTGACCCCACGCTTGTAAACACTTCTGGGTGTGCTCGGCTTTGTGCAGGTGAAAGGGGAAGTCAGCAGGCAATTTACATGCACAGAGTGCAGCGCATGGCTAAGTAATGCTATAAAAAAAAAAAACACGTTTTCTCCTTCAAGAAGAAACTTCTTTGCTTCAAGGCAAAGAAGAAGAAAGAAAAAGGACAAGGCACTAGAAAAGCAAAATGAATTATGAACGCCAGGAAAAAGAAGGGCTTCTATCATCTGTTAAAAAGTCAAATCAATGCCACATTTCACAACATATAGGTGATTAAAACAAGACTACAGCACCTACATCTCCAAGCTGCTGTCGGCAGCCAAGTCGGACCAAGTCCGGCTGCTCCTGACCCCTTCGCTCACAAGTCCTGACTCTGCTTCCCATCCCGAGGCCAATGTGATCATCCATGGGCCTGATCACACCCATAGCAACCCACAGAATCATAGAATCATTAAGGTTGGAAAAGACCTCTAAGATCATCGAGTCCAACCGTCAACCCAACACCACCATGCCCACTAAACCATGTCCCTAAGCGCCTCATCTACACATCTTTTAAATACCTCCAGGGATGGTGACTCAACCACTTCCCTGGGCAGCCTGTTCCAATGTTCA